CTATCTATCTGTCTATCTATCTATCTATCTATCTATCTATCTATCTATTCAGTTTTTACCCCACCCCTCTAGACAATGTCTACTCAGGGCGGCTTACATGGACAGACTTCTTTCTCCCCACAGCAGACTGACACGGCAGCTGAAATTTACGATCGGACAGATGTTTAATGCCCATTAATGAACATCTGGCACGTTAACCGCCTTTTGCTGAGTGCAGTGATTCAGAATCGCTGCCAGCTACCTCTGGTTCTCTGGAACGAGAAAGCCGTCTGGTACAATTTCCAGCCTGGTTTCCCTGTTCGGTGATGGCTGATGAATATGACAGACACTAAAGCATGATCTTTTTACTGAGAATTTCAGACATTCACTTCCCTGGACAAAGGCTTGCAGATGGTCCTTTAAGCATCACTTCCAACCCCAGGGTGTGTTTTAAGGTACCAGAAATTCCACTTCACATGTCAGGCCATGGGTAAAGTGGACTGCGGTCTGGAAACGCTGGAGCTGCGGCATGCTTTTGTGCCCAGGCTGTGGAAGTGGCCGGACTATGTGGCGGGTTCAGATTACACATCCTGATCTGGTCCTGATCCTCACTACATAGGCACTTCAGCCTATTTGGGTTTTGCACCAGCTTTGTGTAACGTTTATTAGTTTTTGTGTGTGTTAGAGATAATCTCCCACATCAATCAATAAATAACATCCATTTAGCTTGGATTCCCCTGGAGTTTATTTTGCCGACAGCTCCTTGATTCCACATGTTCCCGGACCTTAAGATCTTGGCACTATGGCCTCCAGCAGTGCCAGCTGTGACCTGCATTGCCTGAGACTTGCAACCTGAAACATCTGGACACAGTTGCTTTACTGGAGGTAAATTTATTGCAGGTGACCTAAATCTCTTCTACCAAGTAGAGAGGTACAGTGGTGCCTCGCTTAACGACGTTAATTCGTTCCAGCGAAATTGCTGTAGAGCGAAAACGGTTCCCGAAGCAGGGTACCAATCTTCACAAAGCAAAAAAACAACCATTTAGACCATCGTTTTGCGATCGGAAAAACATCGTCGTGAAGCGGATTCATCATAATGCGGGGTAATCGTTAAGCGGGGCACAACTGTAGTTACAGTGCCCCTTGATTCCACAAACCAGTGCAGACTGTATAATTTAAGGCTAGGGTAGCATCCACATCAATAAAACTTATCTTTCTTGACTCATCAGTGCCACATTCACATGGATACAGTTTTAATCAGTAATTTAATTCCTAGTTATTCATTTGGACAGAGGACGAAAATACATGAGCCGCAGTTAATTAAACCTCTATAGAAAACAGCATGGGTAAAATAAAATTGATTTGAATCGGCCATTCTCAGCCATTTTTTTTGGCCACAGTTATAAATACAATATCAAAGGCTGAATCGGGATTGTGTAAGTCACATAATGAACCTTATAAGGTGGTGTGTGAAGAATTGTTTCCTGTCTGTGGCCCCATTCAAAGGTGCCAGGGTTCCCACCACCACCACCACCAGTGGACTATATAGTCCCCTGTTGAGAATGGCTGATTTACTGTATTTTTCTCTCCATAAGACGCACCTTTCCATAAGACGCACCAATTTTTTAGGAGAAGAAAACAGGAAAATATAATCTGTTTTCTTCGCTCCATAAGACGCACAGACTTTCCACCCCCCCCGTTTTGTGGGAAAAAAGTGCGTCTTATGGTGCGAAAAATACGGTAAATCTCGATTTTTTAAAAAAATTAAATTTAAATGGTCCAATTTTTTTCCAATTTTTAAAATTTAAATTGTCTTTCAAATCCGTTTGATTTAAATTAAATCCACCCTGATAGAAAAGAAGGCCTTGTTAGTTCCAAAAAACGTATGGAGAAAGCCTGCAGGTATAAAGTGCTGGTTTATCTGGATTCTCCCAGTTTGTGCCCTGGCGGATGCTTAAGGCCGCTTTACGACATGCCATCAAACGCTAGCAAGGAGACCTAGGTGAGTAGGATTGTTTTTAGTGGAAGGAGCAGAAAGAGGGGGGAAATAGAAGTGTCAGATCAAAATTGCCCTGAGCGATTTCTCCCGACATGTGTTTCATGCAATAGACCTACATGAAGAAGCTTTCATCGGCGGATGATGATCGCTAGAGCCAGTTGTAGCTTGGAATATAAAATAGCACTCCCTTACTTCATACCAAAGTGGTCAATCTTGCCGTGTCTGGGAGCCACGCGGTACGACAGAATTGCTCTCCCCCTGAAAAATACACAAAAAAATGGGACTTTCTCATTTTGGAGAAGAAAAAGGTATTCTGGGTTATTAAATCAAGCTGTTTAAAAGGCAATCTGCCTGTCCTGGAGGTTTCGAAGACGGCCAGTTTCACCTTTTCAGCCAGAAGGAGAAAAGGAGCTGGAGAAGAGGTGGGGATGTTGCGATCCGCCTGTCCTGGAGGTTTCGAAGAGGGCCAGTTTCACCTTTTCAGCTAGAAGGAGAAAAGGAGCTGGAGAAGAGATGGGGATGTTGAAAATGGCCACGGGGGGGGGCTTTATTTTCTGCTCTTTGAAGCCCTTTGGGTCTGCAGCGGCCGCTCAGCAGGTTGGGGGGCTGGCGGGAACCCCCGCAGGTGGAGCCCCGGCTTCCTCTCCCTCTGGGTGGCGTCCCTTCCGGGTGCAAAGCTTGAAGACGGGACGAGCCATGTGCGGTCGTGCGGGTCCCCAAAGTCCATTTTGGTGGATCCCTCTGTTTTGCGTCACAGAGGCTGTTCCTCGAAACCCTGCCGAAAATTCCACACAAGCCAAAAAGCAGGTGCTTGGGGTGGTTTGGTTTTGATTTTTTAAAATAAAAAAAAAGATTAAATAGGAGGTCTTTTTTAGATCTGATGTAGATTGGCCGTGGGCGAAAAATGTGACCCTCGGATGGCCGAGGCATGCTCCGATTTGCGACTTTTTTGGGGGGGCTCAAGTCCTTAAAACCTCTTCTTGTTTCCCTCCAGAGGGGCATCCCCATCGGTCAATTCTGCAAGGACTTCAATGAGAAGACGAAGGACATCAAGGAGGGCATCCCGCTGCCCACACGCATCACCGTCCGGGTGAGAACGAACGCTTCTTTCTTGGTTTATAAGAGCAGGGCTGGAAAACGGAGGGCTGTCTGTTTGCCGGTGTTCGCGTGTATGTGTGTGGGGTCTTGGCTGTTTATTGTGCTACTTTTCCGGTGTTCTGTGTGCTGCTGGCCTCGAACGGATGGCGGGTGGAATGCCGGTCCAGTCTGGAAGGCGTGGGAAATGTAGAAAGGTTGGATTCGTAGCCCGTCAGACAACGGATCCGTGGAGCATTTGTGTTCCCTGGGGTGGGATGGGCAAACCGTAGCCTTCAGCCTAATTTCTGAAGCCTTCCGCTGGCCATCCACTCAAACCCGCCGTCTCACGCTGTCTGATTCTCCTCCGGCAGCCCTACCAGCCAGGGAGGTAGTGAACGGGAGAGGGTTGGTAGGTAGAGAACCTAGGCCACAAAAAAGGGGGTTGCAGAAAGAGGGAGAGAATCGAGAAGGGTGGGCGCCATGGGGTGGAGGGGAAGAGGTGGACCGAAACCAAAGTTTAGGTCCAACTGGGCGGAAATTTGGGATTGACGGAATGGGCCTTCTGCCAGCCAGCTCTGGTCTCTAGGGACTCCTCCAGTGGCTTTCCCCGCTCTGCTGTTCTGAAGGTACAGTGGTGCCTCGCTTGACGAGGATGATCCATTCCAGCGAAATCGCTGTAGAGCGAAATCCTCGTCAAGCAAAATTAAAAAGCCCATTGAAATGCATTGAAAACCGGTTCAGTGCATTCCAGTGGGCTAAATATCTCAGCGTCCAGCGAAGATCCTCCATAGGGCGGCCATTTTCCATGCCTATGCAGCGAAAAATTCCTTCCTGAACACGGTGGGGAGCCATTTTGAGCAGCCGGCAGCCATTTTGAAAACCCAATGATCAGCTGTTTTGATCGTCGTAATGTGAGGAATCGGTTCCCGAAGCAGGGAACTGATCCTCATAAAGCGGTTTTTGCCCATTAAAACATCGTTTTGCGATCGCAAAAGCGATTGCAAAAACTTCATAGTGAAGCAGATTCGTCGTCAAGCGGTGTAAGCGTTAAGCAGGGCACCGCTGTACCTGGTCTCATCTTGATTGTAGAAACTCAGCAGGGTCAGGCCTGGTCAACATTTGGGTGGGATTCTCTAGGTCAAGAGAGCAGCTGCCCATACTGGTCTCATCTTGATTGTAGAAGCTCAGCAGGGTCAGGCCTGGTCAATATTTGGGTGGGATCTCTAGGTCAAGAGAGCAGCTGCCCATACTGGGATAAATCCGCCGAAAGGCACTTTCCTGGGTTGTTGAGACCAGCCCTCTCTGGAGATGCTCCGAACAAACGATGCATCCGCTACCTGGTAGGTGGGTTTTCCCAAGGTTTGGGGAAGGGTTCCCTTTCCACCGACATGATGCCTTCCCTGAGCCACTGCCGTTCACATCCCCTTTAGCCATCCTGGTCCCTGGAAGGGGATAATGGTTGTGGACCGGCACATGCAGAGGGAATCAGAGTGGGAAATGTAGGATTGTGAGCTTGATTCTGGCCCCTTGCCCCTCTGGATGGCTGCGGCATAAGACAGTTTGGCTTGCAGGATCCTGAAGACGAGTCTTAAAAGTTCCACTGCCCCAAATAATAAAAATAATCATGCGCCGTCAAGTTAGTTCTGTCTTATGGTGACCCTTTTCCGGGTAGAGAAGACTCAGAGGTGCTTTACCCTTCCCTTCCTCTAGGGGCGCTGTGGGACGATGGTGCAGCTGGCCCAAGGCCCCCCAGGCTGGCTCTATTCCCAGGAGGCAAAGGAGGGAATCAAACTCCCAACTCTGGCTCTGCAGATAGAGGCCTCACCCCCCCACCCCAGCTATCTAGGCAGTGTGCCGGCCTTCAAAAACAACACAGTCTCAGTGCTGTGTGCATTATAAAGAAATCAAGTGGAGGTGGAAAGAATCGAGAAAGTGCCTTTTAGTGAATTTCAGAGGTTGTGTTCAAGCAAATTCAAAGTTTTTCCGGCTAGATCAGATTCTGTATGGATCTCTGCTTTAAGAGACTGCTGCCCTCCCTGAATCAATGCCACCGGCTATGTAGACCAAGCACACCTCTGCTCATTGGGGCATCCCCCCTCTTTTTTTTTTTTGCAAAACCCCATCAGTCGGCATCCCAGATTTCTTTGCACCTCCACCAGAGATCTCTGGTGTGTCTATGACTTCCTGGTCTTTCCTTTTTCTTTTTCAGCCGGACCGAAGCTACGAGCTCCAGATCAACAAGCCAACGGCCACCTATTTTCTGCTCTCAGCCGCGGGGATAGAAAAAGGAGCCACAAATCCAGGTGAGAGATGGAATCGGAGGCAATACAGTGGTGCCTCGCTTAACGAGCGCACCATTTAATGATGAATCCGCATAGCGACACGTTTTTTGCGATCGCTAATGCAATCGCATTGCAATGTTTCAATAGGCAAAACATCGCATTGCGATGATTGGTAAGCGTTTCGCTTACCGATCTTCGCATTGCGATGTTTTGGGAACAGCTGACTGGCGGTTCCAAAATGGCTGCCGGGTCAACAAAATGGCCACCCGCAGTGTTTTCGCGCCCTGCCCTCACTTACTGGGCAGCGAAAATGGCGGCTGGATGGAGGATTCCCCGCATAGCGGTGAGTTTTTCCCCAATAGGAGCGCATTAAACGGAGTTTAATTCGTTCCTATTGGGTTCCCCCCCCCCCGCATAGCGACGAATCCGGATAGTGACATTAATCCTGGAGCGGATTAACGTCGCTATGCGGGGCACCACTGTAAATGAGCGCTTATGGGGAAGACCTGGACTAAAATGAGGGAGGGAAGGAACAATAGAAACCACACTTGGGGGGAGGAGGAAAGAGGGTGGGGGAGCCTGGCACAATACCCAGGTTGGTGTGTTGGATTTAATTTATTTATTACATTTATATCCCGCCCATCTAGACCGAAGTCTACTGTGGGCGGCGGTGGCATAGAATTTGGTGCGTTTGTAATAGTTTAAGGGTGAAACAACTCTTGCCGTTAGCTAGCTGTGCCTGCAGCCTGCGTTTCTTCCCACGAGCTCAAGGGGGCGTATGTGGCTTCTCTTCTTCTCCCTTTGATTCTCAACAGCAGCCCTGTGAGGTAGGTAAGGCTGGGAGAGAGTGACTTGCCGAAGGTCACCCAGTGAGGGACTGAACCCGACAAGACACTCTGACCGTGGTGCTGACAGATCTGCACGGTAGGATCCCATGGCCAGAGTGTTGGGGTGGGGGATCAGTCCCAAGCCCTCCCCTGGTGGATGCTGGAAACTGTGGATTAGCGTGAGCACTATCATAATAGCAAATACTATACATAGCACAGTGTCTCTCTCCCTCTGGTGGCCAGCTTTGGTAACGTCATTGTTAGAAATATATACCGTATTTTTCCGTGTATAAGACGACCCTTTGATCTTAAATGTTTAGAATAAAAATTGAGGGTCGTCTTATACACGGAAGGAGGGGGAAGGGATCAAAGCGCTTTGATCCCTGCTTTCCCCCTCCACTTTCTTGCCAAGAAAGTGCTTTCCGCCTCCACTTTCTTTGCAAAAAAGTGGAGGAGGGAAAGCAGGAATCAAAGCGCTTTGATCTCTCTCCTCCTTACTTCCATGTATAAGATGACTCTCTCTCTCTCCTCCTTAATTCCGTGTATGACTCTCAATTTTTAATCTAAAGATTTCAGACCAAAGTATCGTCTTATACACGGAAAAATACGATATTTCTAGGATTTTCCCCCCTCTTATTATTTAAAATATCTTCAGACTGTGGATAAGTGAATCGGATTTTTCCCCCCCTCTTATTTAAAATATCTTCAGACCGTGGATAAGTGAATCACCAAATGCTTACCCCGCAGACGCAGGGGTCTTACTGGGGTGGCACAAATGTTTATGGTCTCTTAATCCAGCTAAAGGGGAGGCATGAGAGAGATCAGAATACAGTGGTGCCTTGCTTAACGATGTTACTTGGTTCCAAAAAACCCATCGCTATGGGAAACATCGTTAAGTGAAACGATGTTCTCCGCTTTCTCACCCTCCGCAAGCATTTTCGGGAGGGGGGGTTTCTTTCATAGATCAATTAGGGTGTGTGAGTTGCTTTTGCTACACTTTGGGAAGGGCCATCTTGGGCTCGATAAAATCTCTGTCACGGAGAAGGTTTGTGCCCGCTGGGCGCCGTTCCTGACTCTACGGTAATCCCTCTGGCGTGCAGGTCTCGAGGTAGCTGGGATGGTGACCCTAAAGCATCTGTACGAAATCGCCCTGGTGAAATCTCAGGACCCCTGCTTCGTGCTCCGTGACATGCCGCTGGAGAAAGTCATCAACTCCCTCATCGGAACGGCCCGGTCGATAGGCATCAAGGTGGTGAAAGAGTAAGTGGCCGGAGGTGCGGCCGTGCGGGTCTGTCCTAAATGAAGACGCCCGGTGGGACGAGGTGTGCAGGGTGCAGCCTGGGAATTTGGAGAAATTTGGGGTGGGGATGAGGAGCTGCCATGGAGCAAGCCGTTAACTATTCTCTCTTCTTGCCTTCCTGCCTCCCCCCAGTCTCAGGGCGGAGGAATATGGCGTCTTCCTGAAAGAACGTGAGGAGCGGCTGGCGGCCGAGGCAGCCGAGAGAGAGGCCGAGGCTGCAGCGAAGAAGAAATGAAACCCTTCCTTCTGCTCTCCGCCATTCCGATTTCCGGGAACACAAACAAGAGGGTGCAGATCGCCCCAGCGTCCGGCCACCGGGCCCATATCCCTGTCTCCTGTGTGCCAGGCATGGAGGTCTGCTCCGTGCTTGGTTTGGTAGCCTTCTCCACCCCCCGTCAGAGTTGAGATGGAGGAATCAGAAAGGGGGTTGTGCCGAGACCCAAATCTGGGAGGGCGACGCTCTCCCTAACCTTGTAAACCCAAGGGTGGGTAAAGGCGGTCCTGTCTAATTAAAACAAATCCCTAAATTCTCTTAGATGTCTCATTCTCTTTGTATATCGGGTGAACTAGTTTTAACACTCATGGGCCACAGCCGAAACCTGGCGCGGAGACGAATCCGACCCCAAGCTGCACGACGGTCTTTTCAGATGGAGTGGCAGAGATTGTGCTGGAGGACCCTCAATCATGCTGCCAGTATAGATAGTGGGGTGCTACGGGCCCCTTACCTACGCAGCGACCTCTCTGGAGGTAGGGGTACGTTTCTGGCCGTGTTTGAACTTTCTGTAGCTTTATTTTCGGTGGGTCAGTTTGCGATTGGGTGGCTTTATAAGACTCTTGAGATCGATCACGGAGGCCGGGTTTCAGAGCCCAGCGCATCTCCCCTCCCCATTTATTTATTTATTTATTTTGCAAGAAATAGAGTTTTGAAGTTTCTAATGGATAGCTCTGTGGTTGCAGAACCAGAGGTTGGGAATTCGATTCCCCCACTGGGCCTCCTTGTTAGGGGCTTGATTTTGGTGATCTGAGGGTTCCTTTCCACCTCTGCAGTTCTAAGGTATAATAGTGGCGCTAGCTAGAAAGCTCACCTTTACCTGTGACTCCCAACTCTTAACATCCTCGGGTGGGCACAAAGGGTGAAGGGAAGTTTCTGGTTCACGGAAAATCTGAACCCGGATGGCTTCAATAGTGACAATCATCCTGGCACTCCTTTGGGTAACGCCGCCTGGATCTCTTCAAACGAAGATGGGTGATTTTTGTGTGTGTGTGTTTTGCCTCAAGCACGTCTCATTGAAACGATGATGAATGCTAATAATTAAGCCTGTCATTCCGCGAGAGCAACCTCAGCCGATTAATTGGGCGCCTTTTATTTGATCTGCGTAACTTTGCTTGGAAATAAATAGTTCCGCAGCAAAATAGAATTATTTTAAAGTGAGTGCGTCACAGCGGGTCCCTTCTCAAACGGCAGGCGGTCCTCCGTCGTACGTCAAAGAGGTGTGTGGGGGGGGGAACACCTTTGGCCAAGGTACTTGACTGGCTGCTGCTTTGTAGATTCTTGTGCTAAAAATAACAAGGACGGGGGGATCATGACTCGATGGAAGATCTCCTGGCTTTGAGTGCCAGAGGCATTATCGCATAAAAGGGTCCCAGGATGGGGCTTGGTCAGTGCTTCCCAACTATGCTTCCCCATATGTTCTTCGCCTACAACTCCCAGAAATCCTTGCTTTGTAGATTTTTGTGCTAAAAATAACAAGGACTCAGTGGAAGATCTCCTGGCTTTGAGTGCCGGAGGCATTATCTCATTAAAGGGTCCCGGGATGGGGCTCGGTCAGTGCTTCCCAACTTTGCTTCCCCTGATGTTCTTCGCCTACAACTCCCAGAAATCCTAGGCCGGCGCAGCTGGGAGTGGAGGCTTCTGGGAGCCGTAGTCCGAGGACAGCCGGAGACCCCAGGTTGAGCAACATGGCTAGATGGAGAAACAGCAAGATGGATGGAAACCAGCGACGTCTTTCCTAATATTTTCTCCCCGCTTGAGAATTGGGACAGGATGGTTTTAAGAGCCGAACCCCGTGTTTATTCAGAAGATAGAAGACTTAACGCCACCATGTCCCGCCAGGAGAAAAGCTGTTGATCTTGTATTTAGTGGCTGGAAATTTACCCGCCTTAAATCTCGGGAGGGTGCCTTCTAACTGAATATTAGTTGTGATGTGAGAGAGATCATTTTGGCAAGGATGATAGCCTTGGGGATGCTGCCAGGTATGTCCGGCAGGGGTCAGCTCTGAGCTGGCCTTTATTTGTACTGCTTTGAAGGTTCCTTCCCCCCCCCATTGCCATTTTTTTTTACCACTTTGGGGTACCTTAAAGACCTTGCCCCCCTTCTCATACTAGAAGGCTAGGGACTCGTGTGTTTTTCTGGATCTTAGGTTCGTAGTAACGTCAGGTTGCTGCAAGTTTTCTACCGCCCGAGCGGGCTTAAGGGTTTCTGGAGCAACCGCAGAAATGCTTTTAAGCGTGGGGGGATTTTGTTGGGGGCAGGGGAGGAAAGGAGGTGTGTGTGCATGCATGCTTGCGTGCGCACACTCCTAGGAAGAGAAAGCCAGTCTAAACATCTTGACACCCGCTCGAAACTCTTGGAGACCCTAAGACAGACATCACACCACAGATGCCCCCTGGCTGAAGCATAGGGCTTTGAGACTCGTATAAGGCCCTCAGTGGCCAGCTGTGTGACGTAGTGGTTAAACCGTGAGGCTTCGCCCCCGGAAGTCCTGGGTTCAAATCCCCAGCCAGCTCACTGGGTGGCCTCAACCCTGGCGCACACTTCCGAAGCTGGCCTACCTCGCAGGAGAGTTGTGCAAAGAAAGAAAGAAAGCCATCCACATGGCCGTCATTGAGGGACACCGCCGGCTGAAGATTCTGTCGGATAGTGTAGTAAATCACTTACTTATTTAAAATATATTTATCCCACCTTAAAAAGGACCTAAGTCTCATTGAAATCCCTGGGGCTTTTGGTGAGGCCATGGATTCTATGGGTCTACTCTTAAGTTTGACAGACGATCTTAAGCAACAAGACATGAATCTGACTCCTTCCACTGTTGGAGACTTAAGAGTTTCTCTCCTCTGTTTATTCCTCTCTTGGCATTCCTCCATGGCTCTCCTTTCCGACAACAGTCCTGCGTGGTAGGCCGAGCCGAGGAAAGGTGGCGGGTGCAACACTGCGTAAGGGATTTTAGGGATCCGCAAGGGCATGCCTTTGCCCCTTCTATGTCCCCAACCCAGCACCATCAGGAAAAAAAAAATTCAATTGCACTCAGGGTTTGCAAATTTCGAAATCCCTGCAACCATTCCACCTCTGCGGAATGAAGCCGCCGCTTCAGTGTGGATTTAGGACTTTGCCAGCTTGACCCCCTTCTGCTTCCTTAATCTATCCTTTTAATTAGGGCTGCGGGAATTGAAAGGGGCATTTTATTTTATCATATTTTTAAAATTTTATCTCTTATTGTTAGCCGCCCAGTGTAGACTTCGATCTGGATGGGTGGGGTAGAAATTCAATGAATGAATTGAACGTCCAACCTGTCTCGCAGCCATGAATGGGGGCCTTTTAATTAGTGGTGCAGGAATTGAAAGGGGCATTTTATTTTATTATATTTTTTTTTATTTTATCTCTTATTGTTAGCCGCCCAGAGTAGACTTCGATCTGGATGGGTGGGGTAGAAATTCAATGAATGAATTGAACGTCCAACCTGTCTCGCAGCCATGAATGGGGCTGGGCATGGGTCTTTTTTGGGGGCGTACGAAGCATGCTTTTTGCCTGGCCGAGCCCATAGGCTCAGCCCCTGTGTTGCATAAGGGGGGGCGGGCGGCTATTCTTGGTTTACTCCCTTGGAAGTTTTTGTGGGATGGCTCCCGAAATAGTAGGCCTGGAACCCTGCCGAAGGTCTGGCCTTTTAACCTCCCTTGGTTTTCACTGCAAATATATATAAATAAATTAAAAAAGGGACTGGATTAGGACGCTTTTAGGATCCTGGCCCTCTCAAATGGCACTCAAAACAAAAGCCTTCACGCTCCGGAGGCTGGTTGTATGCCGTCGCCGTGGCAACCGGATGCAGGCTGTCTTGTTGGGGAGGGAGGAGAGAGAGAGCACAGAAGATGATGGAGATGTGGAGGGGGGGGGAAGAGAAGCAGTGACGCCAGCTTCTGGTTGCCTGGTGCCCTGCTTATTTTCCTTTTCAGATTTTTCCCCCCAGCCTTTTCCCCTATTTTGGCAGCAAAAAAAAGAGAGCCCAACGCAGCTGCGTCAGCTCTCCCTCCCTCCCTCCCTGCGCACACAACCACACTGGCCCGCTTTTAAAGGCGCCGAGCCCGGCTCGCAACCTTGTGGGGGTGCAAGGCCTCGCTCGCAACCCCGGACGGGGCTGGGAAGGGCTCCATTTCTGGGGCGTCCATTGGTGTGTTTTCCCCCCCCTCCGCTCCTGCCTTTTGCTCCGAACCCAGCCTGTCATTAGATGACTCTGGCCTCCGGGGATGAGAGGCCTGTGTGAATGAGCCATCCCCGATCCTCCACCGAGGACGTCAAGGGCGGCTTTTCTCGGTGGAGTCAGGCGGCCTGCACACTCAGCCGCCAGTCATCGAGAGCGTTGGCTAACGAAGCGGCGAGAAACCAAAACAGCGAGGCCACGAATGCGAATGGACTCCACAGAGTGGGTGGGTGGGTGGAGGAGGGACGGTGAAAGGTTCCTGAAATACGAAAAATTTGGTGTTTCTGGAATAGGGGAAAGGGGCTCAGCGGGTGTGACTTTGCAGATCCTGGATTCGAATCCTGTGACGAGAAAGGCTTAAGGGAAGGGGCTGCTTCTACCATTCAGAGCAGGCCTTGCTAAGTGAAATGGGGAAGCCACCTAACTTGGTGGGGGAAGTTCGCCCGGTCTGTCCCCTGTCCAGCTCCCTGATTTTGCTGCTTTCAGGACTTCCTCTTCGCCTAGGCCTGCTGGACGTGGGTCTCTTCAAATTGGGAGAGGCCACGATGCAACGCCTGCCTCCAGGCTGAACGCTCAGATGTCAGGGTTTCCCATCTGTGGAGGTCCATTCCTAAGGCCTTCAGATCCCGCTGGCAGATATCCTTGTATCGCAGCTGTGGTCTCCCTCTGGGGCGATTTCCCTGCACTCATTCTCCATACAGGAGATCTTTTGGAATCCGACCGTCAGCCATCATTCTCATTGTGAGAGTGAACACCACCACCACCACCCCTGCATATTTTCAGCACTCTGGATATCTCCCAAGGCTCGATCAGACGGTCTGCTCCGTACGGAGAATCTTAAGGCATTCAACAGCACAGTGTCACGATCCGAGGCATCGAAGCTGGGGTTCACCTAGGAGTAATTCGGTGGAATTTATCTCTGAATAAAAATGCCTAAGATCAGGTTAGTTGGAACTTCTGGGTCTGAAAAACCTCCAACAACAATCACCAACTTAACAGTTACATCGTTTACATTTGATGATTGAAAATAATTACCATCAGATAGGAAGAGAGAGATCTGC